ATACAAACTTCAAATCTGCCAAACAACTATTTGAACAACTTAGGTGTGTTATAAAAAAGGATACGATTGCCAATTTCTATTCTCTTAAGTGAAGACCAATTCATTGCTTGAAAGCAGACCGAGTATATTTATTCCTTTTAATTTTTGTGGTGCTTTTCGCTATTTGAAAAACGCATTTTGTTGTATCAATCTCGTTTCAAATTGTATCCGGTTCAATAATCTTATTGTGATTCCCTCGCCCCTGGAACTCAATTACAGGTTTTACGATCCACGTGTGTTTCCATTCGCGATGCAGTTTCCGATAATTTACTGGTTTCGGCCTCATCCTTTCTCCGTGGCGTGTGCAACCTGAGACAAGATCCGGCGTTCTCGCTCCTTCATTTGTGTCAACAATGGTGAGTAACTGATTCATCAGAATAAGACTGTGTCGAAAGAGTTTTCTTCCAGTCACTATTCTGTACCTTCATGCGTACCCAAAGTATACAGTAACTTCCAGCAAATCATTTAAGTTTAAATGATTAGAAGTTATTGATCATGCAATCTTATTGCATGCACACCACCGATAAGCTACGAAGGAATTTTGTGACTGTTCAGACTTGCCACGAACCATCAGCATTGGCTATTCACTAAGCTTATGATGGATCAAACTCACGCATGCAAAGTTGAGCCTCATAACAACGTTGCAGTACTTCCAAAGCTTTCTAATCACCCTATTTGGCTGGTTTGCTCTCTGTGCTACGAGGCAACTTGTTCGCATGTTACCGTTCACATCTGAAACCTCCTTTACTGTTTTATGATATTCCTTAGATCACAAAGGATCATCATCATCAAGTTCCAACACAATTGAATAGATTTTCGAGTGTGTTTATGTCAGCTTTCGAGTATTTTTATCTTAGAGCTCTAGAATTGGGTGTGTTGAATGCTGAATGTGAACCGGTTAGGGTACACCGTTAGATATAATGTTGAATGATTGTAGCTCGTGATGTGGATGTTGGTGTTGATGTGCTTCGAGCTGAAAGTGATGTTTGCAGACGTTTCTTAGCCAGGCTAGACAACATTATCAGTACAACTGGGGGAGGGGGTGTGTGAGGTGGGGTTTACAAATACGACAAAAATTTGGTGGACATAGGTTTTTCAAATTCTACTTCCTGGTGCGTCAAAAAATAAAAGGAATAAAAGCGAGTGGCGCGGAACAGCTGTTCAATGGTGAAAATCAGCACTCTGAGTAGCCTGAAATCTGAAGTTAAGAGCGATGGAGGATTACCTTAATTCACTGGACAATTGATATTGGACCGGGCAGCAATTAATCTGTCTGTTTCCCGAGTTGATTGTCGTAGGTGCTGTTTGAACCTCAGACTAAGTATCGGTGCACGTCAATGACAGCCCAACCACTACGGGGTAAATGGGGGTGATATGGAGAAGTAGCACTTCTACTTAGACGACTGCTATTTTTTCATGTGGCATCTCTTCAGTTTGTTTTTCACCTGACGCACTTTTGATCTGTGACTCTAGGAAGCTGCTGCTCAATCGATAACAGACAGATTCCAGTAGATCACTCAACGGATGAGTTAATTCAGTTAGGGGATAACTACGATACTCATAAGTGTCTCAGTGAGATATTCAGGGNACTTATTCCTAAGTAGAGACGATCGTTTTAGGTAAATAAAAACTAAAGTATGGCTTCGATTTGTCTGAAGATAGTCGAATAATTAAGTGGCAAATATCAAGGCCCACTCTCACGCATCATAGAGGTTGTGATGATACTACTGCTATTAATAATAATAATAATAATGGTAAATTTACAAGCATCTCACCTAGTGCAGTTAGTTTTTCTCAGGCATTTAACTGATCTGTGTGAATTAAAATCGGTTACTGATAGTCGAGATATAGGTTTGCCTCGAATTCCGGGCGATCATATTAGAGAGCGAGCACATCCAGCAGTTTTGTGCTGTTCAATAATCGATTTCGGAATCGTAAATCTTTAAAACCTTCATCCAATTGCACCCAACCCTTTCACAGTGTAGACACACGTCACCGTCACATGGCACGCGGTCTCATCCTGTTGGGGTTTGGTCTTATGCGGATGGGTATCGGTTTATCCGCTTCGCACGGATCTTCTGGGATCCGGGCATCTCGTGCCAAAGCAGTACAGCGTGCAACTAAGCCAAATGTCTCTCCATTCACATCAATAAATTCTACAGGGCCGCGCTTGGTTCGTTTGGGCGGTGAGCTACTCACACAATTGTTCCAAGTGAGCAAAACGCTGTTTTCGCGTGTGTTAGAATTAAAGCCCATATATACTATACATTAGGATACTTGTAATTTATTCGCAAATGGTCAGCTTTTCGTTCGTTGACGTAACCACGACTGACACATTGGTTTTATCGTGCCATTTCTATCTCGATTTCACGGGCTGCATAGACGTGGATCATTTACGCCGGCGCGAGAGCTCTTCGAATTGTTACAATTATTCGATAAGATCAGGCTCCAAACGCCTAATTTGTTGCACTTTTTCCCATGATCAATTTTTGTCCAATGAAGTAGCCACCCACCATTCTTTTACCGTAACATTCGGTTATTTTCATGCGAGGATATGTTCTACTGGTTATTCATTGCATTGCCGATTTTTGACGAATTTCATCGAAGGACACGTAAGCTGAAAATCAGTGAATCATCCCAGCTGCTTCGATCCCATTAGGTCTCTATTTACTGTGCGAATCCATCGGTTCGGCTAAGGCTCGAACCTGAGATCTAACTACAAGTAGACCATCAGGTAGCTAATCAAACTTCTTCACTTTATCCGTACACGATATAGCACAAACCCCTTCGGAAGCATCTAACTTCGCTCGTCTTAACACTAATCTCTGGGGCTACGACTCGGTCGGACTAGGATAATCAATTTCTGTCACTATCCTGCCATTTGTGATCCTGCGAATGTAATCGGTGGAACACAGGCCAAAAATATGACACAAAAGCCACGGATTCAGCTGGCGAGGTCAGTTTTCGAGTTTAACTTGGTTTTCACCTTTATCTACACGTCTTTAACTACAAAACACTGCGGGTACTAGGCAATGATTGTCTTGATTCCAATCTTGAAACGGTTTTCCGCGTGATGCAATACTTTTAAAGCTTCTCTCATTGGGTCTCGTCAATACAAACGTGGATACTATGTTGACCCTGAAACAAAGCGATACTTAATCATATGCATTTGAATGGTTTCTTTTTCCCCACTACGATAATCGTTCATCATTTGGGATATTGAGTTTCGGGTTTCACATGTTGAATTCAGAAAACAACGTACCTAACTGCTCTCATTCTGTCGCCGGCGACATACCCGACTGTCAATTACATTTCATTGCATTTGGTTCACGTTGGGACTCTTGAGGTACAATATTTATACCGATCAATTAAAAATAAACGAAGATTTTTCGTATTGCTCTATCATGTTCATATAATCTCTGGTCCAGATGGGCTGTTCCCATCAGCGGTTAAGGATGGAGGCTCAGCGTTAGTCTTGAAGTTGACGGAACTCCTAGGCTCAATATGAGAAAGGGAAGAGGTTCCAGCTGAATGGTGTGAATCGGTGATCATACCGATTTATAAGAAAGGCGACAGGTCCTCTTGTGAAAAACACAGAGGAATTCAACATTTCCTCTAAACTTCTCACTGGCATCATACTCCGTCAATCGTCTACCGCACGTAAAGAGCGCATGCGTGAGAACCCGGTCAACGCTGGATAGACCACATCTGCACTCTTCGTCAAACTTTTGAGCACCGACATTCTTTTCATAGACCCATCATCTGTTTTCTTCGATCTGAAAGCGGCTTTTGACTCAGTTGACCGCTCTAAACTCTGACGCTGCCTTTCCCTGAAGGGTGTGCCCGAGATGTTAATTTCAATATTACAATCCCTCTACAATAATAACCGAAGTCGAGTCAGGGCTTACGGCACTTTTTCTCCCGAGTTCACCACGGAAAGTGGTGTTCGTCAGGGTCACCCTCTCTCTCCTTTTCTATTCAACTTTGTTATAGATTTGATTATGGAAACAGCCCTATCCTCGTGCGAGGATAGTGGCATCGATTTACTCCCAGATGGCAGGCTGTCTGATCTGGAGTACGCAGACGACATTGTGCTACTGAGTGAAGATCCAGGTAAGTTGCAAGCCTTTCTGAGTAATCTAAGTGCTAGTGTTGCCATGTTCGGTATGCGTTTTGCACCTTCAAAGTGTAAAATGTTACTTCAAGGCTGGGTTGGTACAGCACCGAGCCTCACTCTAACTGGGGAAGTAATAGAGCAGGTGGATAAGTTTTTTTATTTGGGCAGCTACATCTCACCCGGTGGAGGCATCACGGATGAAGTATCGGCGCGCATACAGAAGGCTCGGTTGGCATCTGCTGACTTGAGACATCTATGGCGCCGTCGCGACATCCGGTTGTCTGTGAAGGGTCGAGTGTATGCCGCTACAGTCGTCCAGTTCTGCTATACGGCGCAGAAACTAGGCCATTAAGAAAACAGAATAAGGATAGGCTGACGGCGTTTAAACACCGCTGCTCACGCAGCATTGTGCGAATCTAGTGGAGCAGCCGGTTAGGCGCAGAGTTTTGGGTAATCGCGGTCGCCCACTGAAGCAAGTGGTCGACCTCCATGGATTACGCTGGTTGGGGCATGCGTTACGCCTGTCACCAGATAGGTTGCCACGGCGAGCGATGTTTACCGAGGCAGGTAATGGGTGGGAAAAAGCCAAGGGTGGTCAAGGTAAGACCTGGTACGAGGGTATGAAATCTCTAACCAGGAGACTGGCTCACATTGTTGCCGGCTCCCTGGTCGGGGACCTTGGGAGGGTCGTAACCGATCGTTAGAGACACTGAGTGATATGGTTGAGTATCGTAAACAGTGGCGTTCGTGCATCTCATTTTTTATTCAAAATTAGTCCACTGAAATTCTAAATTTTCTCTATAATCCTACTTTCAGCCTTCCTGTTTTCTTCCTAATTTTCATTCAAATGGGCAGCCAAAAGACATTAACCAAACCGGCGCACGAAAGTGCATGGTTAATGGTTGTATAAACTGAAAACTGATAACTGAATGTTCATATCATAGTTACTCACATTGTATTATGACATTGACTCATGCCAGTTGTTAGTTACTTAAACAAGGAAAAACGAAATTTCCCTGAAAGCCACTTTTGGATGATACTGGTAACATCGGTCGGGCAGATCAGAATATGTGCACTTCACACTTACTCAGAGCTTAACTTTCTAACATTCCCCGATTGAAAATAAGAAAATTGTCAAGTTAATGTATATAGTTTTGTGACTAAGAGTGATAACTAAGCGAAATCCGGTTCATGAGCATACATTCAAAAAGAATGTCACTCTAGCTAGGTGATTTATGTGGTATTCATTTTGTCCAATGTCAACTGGGGTCTTGTTCAGTCCTGATCTCAAGACTTGGATACTTTGTGCTTTTACTGAGACTGTCAGTGGTTGTTTCAAATACACAATGTGCCCGTGATTCTCCTGACGAGGTTTGCGGAGCGTTAGGCGTGATTAGATCATTCTTTCTTCTCATCCCCTTATCTTCCCGATCGTTTTTACCAGACATTTCCTTTGACGCGTGATGAGATTATTCACATGATTGTGGACCTCGTGTGGAGTGAATCTTCGCGATCGATAGCTTTGCAACTTGTAGGTAAGTGTATTATATTGTTTATTTTTTCATGTGTCTGCCTGTCTGTTGTGTGGGAATCAATCGGCTTTTTGGATGTCTCTGATAGTTACTGTTCATGCTCTGCAACAGGGTGGAAACACCCTGGAATCCAGTTACCAGTGTCGGNTCACTCCGGAAATCGGCTGATTTTCGAGATTATCGGCGTCTGCTTTGTCTTCGCTGACTCACGTCTTTAGCTAACCGCAGGGACTACATTTTCAGTCTGGTCAGGACACCGGTGTTAGGAATCTCTGAAGTTTCTTTTCACGATTGACAAACGACATGTTCAGAAATACGACGTATCTGAAACACCGGGTCCCCTTTATCGATTCAAGCAAGACCGAAATGAAAACGAATTTAGAGCTGTTAACATTTCTTTGAATCTCTTCAATTGCTAACGTAAAATAGTCAGGCCAATGAAAAGCACATCGGATTGTTAAACCTTGGTGAACGAACGGGTTTAGATAGAATGATACTTTTAAAATCGGAAACAAAAGGTCAGCTACATGGCAGGTAAACTGATTACGTAAATGGATAAAACAGGATGGTGTGATCGCATTGACTTGATCTCACTAATTTCTGACTGCTTTTCTTTGCGGTTAAGCAATAGTTGCTTGAAAGAGGAAGCGGGATTACTTACATGTTTTGGTTGTCACGGCGTGTTCTGCAAAAGATGACCCCGTGTTCTTTCTGACCGCCAGACTCTCTTGTTTGGTTTACGTCATTCACTGCATTGGCCGCTTCGAAATGTGTTCGACCATTACTTGCGTCAGCTGACTTTTTTCTTCTGTTCAATGCAACTGCAGTTTAATCTGTTTACAGCGCGAAACAGAACGGGCTTGAGGACGACGCTTATGCGTGCCCAAGTAGAAGCAGTAAGTAAAAGCTGAGCAGCTGGGAATGTGCGGTTACCTTCAACTTTTGTGGCACATCATTCAGAAGCTGATCGCGGGGTAACATTAAACTGCTGGGTCGGTTGAGAGAGGGTGTTTGAAGCAATTGCTGAAGTGTTTGACCTATGCTTAAAGTTTTGAATCGTTTCTTGTTGTGGGGTAATCGCTTCTGTCGCCTAGCTGGAAAGGCGTCTTTACTGAATCATTTTTTAGTTGCTAGAGCTTCACAGTCTCTCCCGAAGCAGCTGCACCAGCACTGCTAATTGAGAATCAGTACCGTGTATTGTCATTCTTCGCGCAGGGTTTAACCGCGCACAGCAAGAGTTACAGCGACCTTTTCAGTTGTGGAGTCTTGTGTCATGATTTAGAGTTGCTTTGAAAATTCAGGTTTTTCTTCTACTTGTTCAGCGTATTCTCCCTTGATAGACGATTATTTTAGCGCATTCTCTCATGCATCCACGCTACCATCAAAATGGATCGTTAATAGTCGAGAAACGTTGGCGTTTGACAAAGCATAGAGATTGTCTAGAATTGCTGTCTTTGAGAAATCAACTCTGTTTTCATGATGAGACTTATCTTGTGCTTAAAGGTGATTATTCCCGATTTATTTATTATTCTCGCGATAGTAGAGGTTGGAAAAATACCAACAGTGACCAGACTGTGATACATGTAAAACTTGGCTATTGGTTAAAGTGATTCAAGCCGTTCTAGGCGCTCGGGTTCGGGACTTCTAAATTAAGCCAATTAAATGGTGATGTGTGTATGGCAGACAATGACACTTGGTTTACTTCAGGTCTGTATCTGTATCCTCATACTTTCCGTATAACCTTCATATTTTCTGCATTAGCCTACCATGCAGATAGGTAGGCGAAAGATGTTAACCAAAAGTGGTGCACGACAGTGTAAGGTAAACGTCTCTACAGACTCAGAATGGAATAACTTTTGACGTTTTAGTATCGCTTTTATCCACCTTTTTTTTCTCGAAACAGCTCCTAATTGCATATTTTTTTTTCATTTTTTGTTTCTGTGCTTACCACCGGTTCAGATCTTCTAGCCGATTTGGTTGCTCTCTGTCCGATGGAAGTGGCCTGTCGGGCGGCACGTTTTGATTCCATTCTCGATTCTATTGGCCTTCTCCCGCAAGAACTTGCAATCGGTCTTGTGCACGCTTTTCTCCCGTTGATTCGTGCTGGTAGTCTTTTGACTGAACGCCAGACGACTGACGTAGCTGTCCCCATGTTGAATGTTGAGCCTACTGGAACCGCGGATCATCCAATTAGTCGAGTTCGTAGTCGTCTTTTTACGACATTGCGTAAGGCCGCTTCCTCACCGCGTGTACAAAGCAGACGCAATGCAGTTGCTTGTTTTCTGCTCTTATTGAAGCATCTAAAGGTAAATGAAAGTCTGGTTTATTTCCCGTTCACTTCAGTTTCTGTATAAACAAAAACAGTGCACCTTCCTTTTGGTTTCTGTTTATCGACTGCAGTAACAGTTACGAAGATACTTCCCTCCCCTCTCTCCAAAAGCCTCAGTATGTTCGGGGGTGGGTTTCCAGAGTTGCAGTTGGTCACCCTCCCCTTGTACCTCGCGAAATGCTTACATACGACCAAGCGTCTCAAATAGCCTCTGCTGAGGAAGCCCTACTTACTACTTTCTCGTGGCGGGGGTGTTTTCCCTTCAAAGTGAGAGGACGAACAGTCAATATTCGGAGCTATAACAGGGTTGGTGGACCACTGGTAGTTCACCTAGGGGAGTTGGCTAAAAACCCTGATTCCAAACCAAACAAGGAGAGGTGTACGAACCACGCACACAACTTCTTGGTTGTGGCAATGGTCACCAGCTCGAGGTGTATAGGGCACCTTGGACGTTTGACCCCGTCCAAAGGGCGTATGATCCGATGAACTGGACATCGGCCCCCAATGGAATGCGGTTTTCGCACACTGCCCCGCTTCCTTGCGGGTCAGGCTTTGGCTAGCCGAAGGCTGCGGTTATGGATTCCTAAAGACAATTCATCTACCTTGGCCTGGGCAACCTGGCACTATTCCCCCTCCATGCAAATCATGGAACGTCTTTCTTTTTCATAAAGATTATTGTACCACAGTCTGGATTCCGATGTATGTGAATGTTTATATATATATATGTGTAATATATATATATATATATATATATATATATACCTCCCTGTCACACACAACGGCCTTTGCGTGATCTCTTGTCTTCTCTACCCGGTCATTTCCGTTTGTCCTTCTTTGAACCGGACGCGAAGCCTTATCAAAAGGTGCTTTTTCATCACCTTAACCTATGCACCAACCAATTGCAGTCGCAATGGCCACAAGAACGAGTTCTACGACAAACTGACCGAACTCACTCGATTGAGCTAAAACTCCGATATTGTTGTGCTGGCTAGCGTTTGGAATTCGCATTTAGGAAAACTGTGGGCCAAGAAAGCTTGTCTAGGTTGTCGTTGTGCTCTACCCTACCACCGAACAGCTAACAGTGGTCTAAATTTTCGGTTCTGTTCAGATCGCTGTCTGTTCCTGTCCAATATAAACTTCCGACATAGCTCTCAGTGAACATCAACATGGCTCATCAATAGCAATAAGCTACGTTGGTGTGGATCAGTACGAAAATGCGTATTCTGTTGTACCACCGGTTTTGATGCCACTTACGCTTCAACTCACTGGTTACCGATAACGCTCGATTAACCAGTCATCGCTTGTTCGATGCAGCCGTTCGTGCGCGCTATGATTTAGAGTTAAGGCAGAAGCTGAGAGCTCTCTACAATGTGCAGAACATATGATCAATGGGATCAAATTGAACGTGTGATGAACGTTGTTTTCCTATCCAATCCTGAAACCCGTCCGAGTCCTGGTGGAGAAAAAATGCCGAACCCCCACCAAACAGAATTGAAACAGGGATAAGTGGCGTCTGTGATGTCAAGAATGACCGTTAAAACTTGTAGGTGAAAATAGCTTGAGAAATAGGAGTAGGTAGTAGTCAAAGACTGTTCCAACCGATACGCGACACTAGAAGTCGGCGAGTTCCACTTAGTGGATCAGTCTGTGATGAGACTGAACGAGCTATTCACAGTAGGAAACAACGGCCTGACCGGTAGGCGGAGTACTTCAACGAACAGCTCAGCTGGTCTGGCGCTAGCCCTATTATCTCGTCTGCTAGAGCTGCATATTCGTGGACAGTGTTATGTGAACTTCCTAGAAGTCCGGTCTTGCATACAAGTTCTGAAGAGAGTGAAAACAGCAGGACCTGATGGGTTTTTGTCTACTTTTTTCAAGACAGGCAGTGATGACCTCGTGGACTCTGATTTACTGAGTAAAATCTTGTCGCTAGAGTGCACTCCGTCTTCTTCGAGCGAATCACTAATCGTTCCAAGCTACCGCGGGATCAGTTTGAACACAAACGGTACCAAGGTAGTAGCCTCCGTCATACATCGACGTCTGAAATCCTTACGGAAGACAAATATTCACGAACAACAAGCAGTATTTCGACCTGGTGTTGATCACATTTCTGCCTTGCCTCTAATCCTCGAGTTTGTGACAATTCAAACTACCAAGGGTAGTGGTGATTGTTGATGTGAAAGAAGTTTGTGATTCAGTTGACCGCGAGGCTCTCTTCGGTTTCGATCTTCGCAAAGGAATGCCCCCGAAGTTGGTTAACCACTGCTACCGTAACTAATGATTGTAATCTGCTCTATCATACGTTTCAATAACGGATGCAGCCAGCGTTGACCGTGCGGGACAACATGTAGACTATCATTGAACTTGAAACCTCTGGTGTTATACATCGAATCTCATCACCCTTTTGGGATATTTTTTCTTCGTTGGACTTGTAGACGTTTGGGAAGATTTCTGTGCATCATTACTGCCGAGCATTTTCTTTAGTTCACAAAAATCCCCAATGCATTTTCTTCTCCAACTCCAGGTTTCGGTTTCTGCTTTTCGATCGGCCTCGCAAAATTCCTCAGGATCCCTATCTCAGTTCAGTATGATGACTCAAACTCAAGCCACGCAGAACAATCCAGGTCTTCTGTTCACTCAGCTTCAATCGACTCAGGTAAGCATGCTAAGTCCTAGTTCACTTGGGACAAGGGCTGCACAAATTTGCCTCTGTCGCCTCGTCATAGTTACGGAATCTTAAAGACCTCTGGGGATGTTTGTCGTTGTGCCGTTCGTTATTTTTCGTTAGGTGGGTAATTAGTTGTCAAAAACTTTGGTGTTACGTTTTTTGGATACTTTTGTATTTTCGGGATTTGTGGGAAGCAAATGATTGCACACGCATTTCGTTAACAAAGAGGTTGGTCACTGGTTTTTTCCGTATTTCCAGTAGGTAGATTTGTGTTGCATAACACGGTTACGATGCCCAACCAGTATCCCTCTAATGGGTAAACTCTCAAATCGGTTTGTTCTCCCATTGATCCACTAAATGCCTTCTATCTCTTTTTGGTCAGTTTTTGGATATTGATTCGAGGAACGCAATCGTGTGGTTATTACAATCTTCCATATTTACTTTAAGCGTGATACTTTGAATTGCATTCGGTTTTCTCCCTTTGAGGAGTAAATTAGAATGCCTTTGCGAAGTTTGACGTGATTAGATTCGAGTTTCTTCCTCATGCGAGTTCCGGTAACGGTTATCCCTTTTGGCAAGCCAACGACTTGACAAAGGCCTTCCAAGAAGGTTGAAACGTTGTCACCGAAATCTTGTGTTTTGGTACTCACGTCGTGGCTAAAACAAACCTGATTCTATTGTTACCATGAGCACCACGCCCAAATTTATCGAAAAGATCCGGAACACATGGATTATTAACTGAAAATTCACCTACCTTGGCCCAGGCAATCTGGCAGTATTTCGGATACATGCAAATCATGGAATGTTTTTCTTGTTCATTAAACTATTGTATCATTATTTGTTTGGCACAATCTGGATTCAGACGTGTGTGAACATATAATGTATATTATGCGTTTCGCATCTTCAAAGTGTAAAATGTTGCTACTAGATGGGTTGGTCCAGCCCTCCAAACTCACCCTGACTGGGGAAGTAGTAATTGAAGGCAAGTTTTCCCGAAGGAAGACTATCTGATACTAGCACCCGNAAATCTTGTGTTTTGGTACTCACGTCGTGGCTAAAACAAACCTGATTCTATTGTTACCATGAGCACAAAGCCCAAATTTTTCGAAATGATCCGGAACACCTATGGATTATTAACTGTCCAACGTTATATATATATATATATATCCATTTTTAGAATGTTTCGAATAAATTGCCCTATCCAACCTATCTCCCTGTTTCCATAAGTCGAACTCTGATTGGTTGAAATAGAATTCAGCAGTTAAAATGTAAACACGAGCGATCATCATCGCAAATGCGTTTGTACGCTTCCCGCTTTGACGAACAATAGGCTGACTCCGTTTATAATTTACCCTGATGCATGCTTTCATGTTTGAAATGGCACGATTCTGTCTATTTGTGGCGACCGTGTATTCTCAGCTAGAACTGGGGCATTACTTCACGATATGATGGCTGATAATAACCCAATTCGTTCTTTACCGTATGTAGATTGCTCGTCAAGCGGTGACCCTTCCGTGTGATGTCGCCCAGAACGAAGCGTTTTGCACGGAAATTGTCAGTGTTTTGCACCGAATCATTTTCTCCGCGTTCTTTCGATCCCAGACGGGCAGTATGCTTGAAGATCCCGAGAACAGAGTGAAATCCGAAATCTGTTGGGTATGTACATGTTTTATAACACATGGAGTTTGCAGGTATACACCCACACAAGTCACTCTGATCTCGGTGAAAAAAATACTTTTAAGCTTATGTTTCTTCAGTTCGATTTGTTATTTGCACAGGATTGCTAGAGGGAAAATATCATTAGGTGTAGCTTTTCATATAGTGTCACTGGATTGAAGCGGACAAAGTGAGACGGTCGAGAACTCCAAGTAGTACACAGTCTGATGACATAGGAATCAGTACACTATAATAGTCAATATATTTGAAGCACTAACTTGAATGAATACCCCTCGGGTGGAAGTTGAATGAAAACGTGGGCAACAGACGAGGTCCGATATACCGAAATCCAAGCTTCCCGCTCGTCATAATCAAATCGCATGGTCGACTTCCGCAGGGTTGAATTATGATGGTTTCCGCTCACAACGAGTATGATAATCACGATACTCATACAAGAGCTGTTTTAAAAGACATATTTGGGAAATGACGATCGATTGACATTTGTGGCCGTCGGGATTATTATGGGTGGGTCTCCTTGAAGTGTGTTTGGATTTGAATTGGAGACCTCAGATGGTTCATAACTTCAAGTCCCGGGGCTTAAGTTGCCGGTTCCCATCGCTGAACACCAGGTTTTATCGACTATGGAATCTACTCCGTCTGCTGTTCATCAGATAAATGTGTGTAGTAATAATGAAAAAAAGATACTGAAAAATCCTTGAGTCTTTGTCACTGTTTTTTTCCGTTTGACCTTTGAAGTGCATGTATAAACGTATTGACGACGCCTACCACATGGGTGTTGGATTATGAGCAGCACATCGAAGAATGCAATTGTCGAATGTCCAAGTGGTCATAGAAGTTCCGGAAATGTTCGGAAGTGTCCTACGAAGTGGTATCTCTACATGATTTCTGTCGGTAGACCCTATTGAACGAAAGGTCACCGGAACGTTTTGATGATTTTCATCGTGATTAATTTTGCCCTTTTGGAAAATGTGTAAACAATGTTCAGATAATGAAAGTCATTGCTTCGTCGGGTAAAGTTTCTGTTGACGCGGATCCATACCCTCTCCCATGTCGACCAGGAGTTCGGTAGTTGTCGAGGCAGCTGTTTGGCTACTGCTTGACATCTGGAGCAGTACTCTTTGTTTCATGTCATTTTCATATAATTGCATTGATCAGTTGATAAGCATGCCAGTCGAACCTTAGATAGTCCATAGCGGATGTTTAAACCTTATAACCTTGAAGATATTATACTTTGAGGGCGATCGACACCCTCAATACCGGAACTTGAAATACTGAGCCGCATCAGACCGACATGGTGTGTGCGATATTCAACTGATTTTTTCGCAACATGATCAAAGACAGTTTGTCCCGTCTATCTTTTCTCTCAATCACTAATAGTGATACGATGAACAATAGGCACGATTACCTCCTGCTTGTTCAGAGAAACCGGCAACTTGAATCATGTTACTTAGGCTGATGTTTTGATAGAACAAAAGTGGCCTTGAGTTTGGCCTCCTCTATCTTCAGGTTTTTTTTTTCATTGTTTTCGTCCTTCTCATTCACAGCATTCAGATTCTCTCAGGTATCTATTTATCTGACTCAAATTTGGCGCAACACATGAAAATTATTCCTACTCACATACTGTTCGTATTTTTATTGCGTTTTTCTTCATTCGTTCTTGACGCACAATATATGTTTGTACGGAATCCCCGCATATCATGATGCTTAAAGTTTTGTCTGTTCTAGTTAATATACTGTTTTCCCATGATCGATTTCTCTACGTAAAGTTAACGTTTATCAGTCACGTGAATCAAGTACGGATCAACATTTTGAGATAGTTGAATATAAGTAACTTCCTGAGTGGTTTTATGCTTTTTCAGTTTTCTATCTATATATCCCGTGTCTAAACTGCATTTCAGGGACTTTGTGAAGTAGTCACTAGGAATCGGGGTTTGGTAGAGCCGGTGATTACGTTATACGTCCGGTTGTTGGCCGGTTGCTTATCTCCCGGTTTTCTGCGAAACATAAAACAAACTAACGGCCTGGCTTCACTCACAGTACCCACGGTTTTGGAACCGGGCACCTCACAAGCTCCTCCGTACGGGACGAGCGCCGTGCTTCCACTGTCTTTGGATCGTGTGGTGCAAATCACCGCCGAGACCGGCGAAATTCACCGCACAGAACATCCGGTGAGTAAATCGGAATGGTCTGTCCATACTACTCATAAACGGTCTGTTGTGAATTACCTCTACCCGAATCACAATCCAACGCAAACATGTTTTCGCTCCATTGAACGTTTTCCATCATCACTGACTAACGGGATTGTAACGCCTATATAATTTGTTCATCTTACTTATATATCTTTTTTACTTGTAACCAATCGATCAGTGCTTTTAATAGGTCAGTTGTAACACTCAGTTTCTATCAGTAAAACCAAAGTGGTCAAATTCTTTTTGCCGTTTCTACTCACTGTTTACAAAGGCGTTCACCTCATAAGCGAAAGATCTGTATTCAGGTGAAACTTCGGTTACCATGATGCGGATATCGTCGTGTAGTAGTTGAATAGCATTCTTATCAGTCAAGTCTCTCAAACGTGAAGCAAAACACTACGAACCGCAGCGATGCACACTCTTGCGCTTGGACAAAGTCGGATATCATGGCGGAGCCAAAACTGTCGGAAGTTGGGGATAGATACTTTAGCTTTGGCCATTCGTGATGTGATCTCTCCTCCCCCCCAAAAAAATCACCTCCAGCTCCGATCAACCTCCAGACTGCCGCTAGTTGATCACCTCATAGAGCGAAAGCTCCTGCGAGCCTTGCGCGCGCTCTTTTTATTCGGATGGCGCAAAGCGCATGCGATGATTGAATTGTTCAATCACCAAGCTGTTGAAAGCATGTTGGAGTACCTGTACGTTGTCAACCAGCAATGCGATGTCATCAGTATATTCTGAACCAAGAAATCGTTTCATTGAGTGATTTTTAGTTTCACCGTTTGTGAATCTGGACACAGCATCCGGTAGAATATCCCGTAAAACAAATTTGAAAGGGAACTGTCATATCGGGTATGCTTATGGCACTCCCTCGGAAACTGTGACGGATGGCGGAAGCTGGTGATCTTCCGTTACCTCGCTTAGAGTATGACTACGCAACTCTTTGAGAATCGACACAATTTTAAGACACTTCATTTTTCACAAACTTTTTCCATTAGGAAACTTTGCTGGACGTATGTGGGTTAAATTAAGGAGAGGCTGAGGACGGAGATGTGTGTGCATCTAAGAATTGTTTACAATCATAAAGAGGAGCCTAGGGTGCAAATGATGCAAGAAACTTTGCAGTGAAGCGGGCTTCATCATCATCATCGTACAGCGATATACAGTGAAGGGGACTCCACAGGTCGCTACCAAGCTCACAATGTACACAAATCAGATGATAAAGCACAAGATGGAGAGGGATTGGGCCTAGCTGGAGGGACGCAAAGAAAGCGAACTTCTTTGATTAACACACAGAGTACACAATCTTAGCTTTTGAAGCATTGTGATCTGATGAAAAATGACAGCAAGAATGCCACTGCTGTCGGTTAGTCGCTATATCCTTCAATGTCTCCAACCAACCGGTTGTGAAGTCTTCGGGACCCCAACCTGGAAGGCGAGAGATACCCACTCTACCTAATCGTTTTGTGCATTAATTCAGGCTTCGTTTCTACATTATCTGTTGACCTCCACGTGGTTTCATCCAATCTGGAATCGCAACTGCAAATAAGGCGCAGAGCAGTAGACGATGGCAAGGCCTCCACAATACGTGTTCCAGCGAAGCTGACTAATCTGAATTCGATGGGACAACAAATTCTCCATCGAATCATTACCAAATACCCTAACTCCATCCAACCCATGCCAAACTACGTAAACATCGATAGTCGAACTCATCTAGGCTACGAATATCTCCCACGCACAAATTTAGGGTCTTGCAACCACAGAGCAGAATTGACCGCACACTGGCGCAGTATACACAACCTTTCGGTTTCAACGAAACATCGTGTCTGCACCGAAGTGTTTCAGTTCTGCGTAAGCTGCTGGAACCTTGGAAATGCGGGCGGTTACTTCATTGACTATGCTACCATCATTTGAAACGCAGCTAACTAAGTAGGTGAACTATTCCACTACAGGTAATTCTTGACGATCAAACATCAGCCCCGGCGAAGTCGATTCCTCACGGTACGAACCCCGTGCAACACACCGCTATCGCCAACGACGCCAAAACAGAACGCACAACGGCCATATATAT